CTTGTCAATCTCAGCATCTCGGCCGTGAAGTCTCTGCTCCTGTTGGCGAAGGCTTAAGGAGAAGAATCTGAGCGATTCTACAGACCTCTGAAAGGGGAGTAGAGGGGGTTTTGGACAGAGGTTGGAAATTTTACTTTTTTGAGGGGGTTGGCAGCTATCAGAACTCCTAGGGAGAATGTGGGAAACAGTCCAGAAGAGTTTGGTGCTGTTGTTCTAGACCATCAAGTCCCCTCCGACTCATGACGACTCTATGAAGGCGCCATCTCCAGAATGTCCCGTCCTCAACAGCCCTGCTCAGCTCTTTTAGACTCGAGCCTGTGGCTTCTTTTAGGCAGTCCGTCCATCTCACATTGGGGTCTTCCTCTTTTTCTGCTTCCTCCTGCTTTTCCCGGCATGATGGTCTTTTTCCAAAGAATCCTGCCTTCTCTCAATGTGCCCAAAACAGGGTAGCTTCAGCTTCAGCGTTTTTACCTCCAGAGAAAGTTCAGGCCGGATTTGATCGAGGACCCTCTTGGGAGAACTGGTATTGGATGCAATAGGCTCGTGAAATCTCAGCATCCTGGGGGGATGGCTAAACATCTATATATCATAGCTTGTATTTCTTCGAAGACAGTGGCTCCTAACCTTAGGTCCCCAGATGTTCTTGGACTGCAGTTCCCAGAAGCCTTTTCACCATCCACGGAGCTGGCCAGGATTTCTGGGAATGGCAGTCCAAGAACATCTGGTTTGCCCAAAATTGGGACATTCTGTTCTAAGAGATTCAGAGCCCTTTGAGTCCTCTTCACGATCTTGCAGAAAACCGGATAGATCGGTGGAGCAAGCTACCAAATCTGATGCCCTTCCTATGTTTTGTAATACAGTTCCCATCCTCCACAGCTGTTCTGTGTTTCAGGGTCAGGATTCTGGGTGCTGTAGTCCACTTAAAAGAGCACGCCGTCTGGTGCCCTTCCTGTGTTTTGGAATACAATTCCCATCACCCAAAACCGTTCCGTGCTTCTAGGTCAGGATTATGGGTGCGGAAGTCCATTTAAAAGAGCACCCTATTGAGAAAGGTTACCCGGGAGAGGACTCCCCAGACTTTCTGGTGTGGACTTTTAATTGTCTTCTTCTGCTCTCTGCGGTGGGATGTCCTCGGTTCATTCACTCACGTGCTTCTCATTTCGATGGTTTGCTGCAGGTGATCTGGAGTTCCTGCTGGGCCTTGGAGACCTGTCCCTCCCGTTCTCCAAGAACCCGGGCCTCCAGCTGCTGCGTTACAAGTCCGACCTCGTCTCGCGCAACACCAACGAGATCTACCACTATCCGAGCCCGTTGCATGCCGTGGCCCTCCAGAGCCCGCTTTTCACCAGCAGCCTTTCGCACAGTTCCTCCCAGGAAGATCTCCAGGAGGCGTCCCCGAGGGTGGCGGAGGCCCCCTCTCCAAAGACGGGGTCCCTTTGCTCCCCGGAGCAGCGCCGAACGCGGCTCGACCACTACGTGACTAAACTAGCGCTCCGCTACAAGTGCCGCTCAGTCACCGGCCGGCCGGAGGGCCGATACCTAGCGGGAAGCCAGAAAAGCTTGTCCATGTCATCCGTCTGCAGTTCTGTGCTCGGCGCCAGCCAGCTCCTGGCCTCGGGCTCCGGGTGGAAGATCCGTCGGCGGATCTCCACGTGCTCCCACGTGCGCTCTCTGGAAGGCTCCGAGGGGACCCAAGATTCTAGGGTCTTGGACTCCCAAGGAGACCTCACGCCCTTCCCGGAGATCAGCTCCATCGCGTCTAACGCCACCAACCTCAGCAAGGTGAGCGAGCCTTCGGTGATGTCGCTCCCGGAGACTCTCCCGCCGTATCCAGACCGTTCTGCCGTCGGCTACCCGAACAATCAAGCGAGTGAATTCGGGAAAGGGGGTCTTGGCTGGGTCAATGGCTCCCCTAGGACCACGGTCCAGGGGGAGACTTCCCTCGGGAAGGAGGCCTCGTTGCCCCGGGCGACCTCCGACTTCGAAAAGCTGTACAAAGGGAGGCACGCCTCTCAGGAGTTGGTGAAGACGGCCGAGAGGCCCGAGAAGGCGTCCGAGAGGAGCTGGTTGAATCCCCGGGAGCTGCTGAGGAGACTCAGCCTGCGGCGTCGGTCCTCCTCACGCATGGGGAGCAGGGCGCGCGCCAGCTCGGAAATGAACGTCCACGTGGCTGCAGGCTTGGCCTGCCACAGCGACCCCCAAGCCGGTAAAGGCAAAGCAATCAGGCCGAGATGGGCTTCGGTCCTCGAGATTTCCAGCAAGACTCCCGGCCGGCCCCGGCCAAAAGCCGGCCCTTTCCCCCCGCCTCACGTCCTCAACCGCCACCTCACCTTCTCCTCCAACTCCCCGGGGACCTTCTGCTTTGTGGGCGAGAGCCGCCTTGACCTGGCGCCCCACCGGCGGGCCGTCCTGGCAGGTGGCGGTGGCGGCCTCGGCAAGGTGGAAGCCACCAGCGCCATCAGCCTTAATGGGGAGTGGATCCTCCATCCGTTCGGGGAGAGATGGCCCCAGGCCTCCGCCACCTTGGACTCCACCGATCTGCCCGTCCGGAGTTTCAAGCTGCGCCGCAGCCGGTCGTTTAAGGAGCTCAAGAAGGCGATGACGCGCTCTCTCCGCGGTTCCCGAACCCCCAAGTGACAAAGCTCACGCCCGTCAGGACTGCTAGAAAAAGGCTGGGCAAGTAACCGTTGAGGGGCAACGATGAGGCCCCTCCTGAACTTCTTTATATATATATTTTTCAACTTTATCCCCGCGGGAGCGTGTGAAATTATTTTATTCCCTTTTGTTATGTTTCTCCATTTGCCACCTTCCCGATCATCTTGTTTCCTCTCTCTTTTTGGCTCGAAATATGAAATGCTACTAAGGGTTGGGATTTTTTTCCAGGATTCTAAGTATTCCGGAAATCATCTAGAAATCCCTCAAGCAGATTTCTGGAACTGGGGGAGGAAAAAGAAGAAGGCAAAATGAGAGATCCTTTTCTGGTTAGGGTCTACTTCTTTTGCATGGGCATCGGCTGAGGAGAAGCAGGGAGTGCCACCCCAGCCCCACTGCCTACTGGGAATCGCCCTAGTGCGCCATAGGAGAGTAGCCGTACTACCAGTTATAATCTCTAGGGGGAGCCTCTCACTGAACTACTTTCTCCCATGGTATATGAGGGCCAGTGGTTCCCATCCTCCGGTAACCCAGGTGCTCTTGGACTACAATTCCCAGAAATCCTGGCTAGCACAGCGAGAGGTGAAAAGGCTTCTGGGAGTTTTAGCCCAAGAACACCTGGGGAAACCACTGCCCTCTGACACTATGGAGAGGGTAGTTCAGTGAGAGGGCTCCCCCTAGAGATTATAGTGGTTAGTGCACCTACTCTCCTATGGCGCACTAGGGCAGAAAGACCTCCCTCTGGCGATCATTTTTTTTCCCCAGTCCCTGGAGTCTGGTTGGGGGATTCTTGATGATTTGTGGGGTAGAAGTCGACTTCCGAAGCACCCACTCCGAAAAGTTCCTTTTTCTTTCCTTCTGGAACTCCGACACCCGGAGGACTTGCGCTGTCGGCCGCCATGCCGTCCGGGCGGTTTCGGGAAGCCGTGGTCTTGAAGCAGGAAACTCTCCCCTCTCGAATCTTCACCGATAGATCTCCTCTCTCTCTCGAGGTTTCGCCAAGTCCATCCTCAAATGTAGCAGTGAACACCAAAGCTTCAGAATACCCATCAGCCTTAACGAGAGACCCAAAGAATAACCTTGAGTGTTGGCAGTCGTCAGATAATTTTTTGATTGATTATTATTTTTTAATTGGGGGTGCCAGCCCCTTGTAGCCCTCGAGGCTGGCTTGGGTCTCACAGTCTTCCATGGGAAGAGATGGAGGGGGGACAGAACTGTGGGGTTTTATTATATTGCCCTTCCTCCATTAAAGGTCTCTTTTTCTCTGTGTCTGTCTTGTCGAGGGAACAAGCATGCACATCGCTCAAGACCCACAGAGTCTTTGCCAGTCAAAACACCACTCCCTCTTTAGATTTCTTTCAGGTTTTATTGCAATCTGGTGACCAAAATAAAGACGATTCTTGACCCTCTGGCTGCCCTTGAGCCAGAGAGGAGAGCTGTGTGGGAGACCTAATGGTGAGGCCAAACCATGTTTATTTTGGTCTCGGATTTGGACACGGGGGGGTTGAAACCTACTTTGGTTTCCCGGGTCAAGTCTCACTACGAACATCCACAGCACATCATCGTCTTCTAAAATTGAGGTAATCCCCAAACTGGCCCAAAGTGAGGTTCGCCTGCATCTTGTTTCTTCCCATTTTGGGGGCCCCCCTTTTTTTGCAGGTTCTCTCAAGAAACCTCCACACTTTCTTCCGGAACTTTCTCCGGAGACTCCGACATTTCGAACGATGCTCGACGTCCCCATACGCTCACTCCGGCTGGTTTACTGAACGCCGATAGCGTGAAGCGGTTCTTTGAATGTTTCTGTTGTTATCTCTGAATGATCTCGCTCTCTGGATCTGTGAACTTTCCCTCCACCCCCCCAAAAAAAACATTATGGTTAAGATTGAGGTTAGAAAAATAAACAATCGCTTTTTAAATTAGGCTGTTTCCCGCCTATTTATTCTGAGGAAGTGTCCAGCCTCTGGAGGCCCGATCTGCTTGGTGGGTGCGCTGCACTGGGTTTGGCTGTGTGTAACGGTAAGGATGCTTCTGAAGTTTGGACTTTTCCATGTCGGCTTGTGGGAGGTTCCAATCATACATTTCCCCTTTAATTTTTATATTTCTTAAATCAGCCCCGAGAGTGAGATGAAAGGTAAAGGTAAGGGGCACTACTCACCCCCCCCCAAAAAAAACCTACATAGCTTCAGCATTTCAATCAAATGTTTTGCTTCTGCCCTTATTTTGGTCTCCTCATTTGTGGAAATGAATTTTTTTTAACTGAACTGCACTGCTTCTTGAGATATTCTTCTGAGGAATCTCCCAGGACCTGTGAGTGGAAGAAGGACTTATTGTGACACAGGTAATTGTGTGTTGTCTTGTCAGTTCTGGCTTACGGTGACCCTTTTTTTTCAGAGTTTTCCAGAGAAAGCATGCTCAGAAGTGGTTTCCCATTCCCTTCCTCTAGGGGGAGCCCTGGGACGGTGCAGCTTGCCCAAGGCCACCCAGGCTGGCTTTTCTTCCATAGAGGGGAATCGAACTCCCAACCTCTGGCTCCACCAATGGAGACCTATATAAGGTGTGTTTCCCCATACCATACCTAGTTTTATTCCCATGCACGATTAGTTGGCTAAACCTTCAGTGACGATTAGGGCCAACGTAAGCAGCAGATGGCTTCGGATGTTTCCATCCCATGATGCATCGGGGGTGCCTGTCATCCAGTGGTTCCAGATGTTCTTGGACTACCGCTCCCAGAAATCCTGGCCAGCACAGCGAGCGATGGAGGCTTCCGTAATGCTCAGCGCCCAGAGGGTTCTGTTCTGCCAGTTCTTCCCCCTGAAAAATCCTACACACCGTAGGACATATTTCTTAAAAATTCCCTTCTGGAAACTTGGTGCAAGCTTAGGGGTACCCACGGAGACTCGCGGCGTCTCCCCCTTGCGCATGGGTGGGTCGGCTGTGCATAGATTGGCCCTCCAGGAATGGATTCCCGATTAGTATATCAGGTGTCTGCACTCAGGATACAAGATTTTTGCTCCGGTGGATGCCCCTCTTGAGCGAGCCTCAGAAGGTGGTGGTGGGGAAACAGGGTGGCGAAAGATAAATATCAGCCTTACTCCCACCTATCATTAAATTCCTATTTTGGCAACAGCACACGCATCCCCAAGCCTGTGTGTCCAGAAAAGAGGGAAGGGGAGATGGCGTCCAGCTTTTCCGCTGCCTCCCGGGTACATCGGCATGCTCGATACCTGTGGTGCCACATCGCACAGCCTGAAGGATGTAGTGAACTGCTGTTTACAGCAAGATCTGTGGCACCGTGTGCTTGATTACAGTAATTAAAGAAAGCAGGAGACGGTAGCTTCGCAAGTTGGAGCTTGTCGGCTGGCGCTCTGTGAATCTGCTACCGGCGAGGCTTTTTCTAACACTGGGGTGAAATAATCTGAATCCGTCCTCCTTGGTGATTTGAAACCCAAAATGGCGGGTCAAGGAGTACGGCTCAGGCGTGGTCCTCGTCCTCTGTAGGGCTACATCTGAAAGACCACAGAATCCACTGATTCATAAATCTCTTTTTATTGTTGTACAATTATGGCACAAACATTGAGGCCCTGGAAGTAATCTAGTAGAATCCTGTCTATCTTCGGCCTGCCTTTCATCTCGTTTATTGATAGGCTTCAAACCGCTCGGAGGGCGAGGCGGTTTCGAGTGGATTTTTAGATTTCGCTTGTTTGCTTCAGGCACCTGAAATGTCGTGGGCAATTAATGCAGACAATGGAATCTATTCATGAGTAAACATTCTTATTCTCCATAAACCAGGTCTTTAGCAATAACTCGTGGTCAACGCAGCCTCGACGCTACTCAGGCAGTATCGCCTGCCACCGTATAGCTAATCACAGAAGCTTTAGTAAGGAGACGATAAGGATAAAAATCTAGAAGGTGAGAAAAGAAGTGAAATCTCAGGCCTTTAAAAAAAACTAAAATGAAATCAGCAAAATTTAGGGGGAAATGCTGTTACATTTCCCCCCATTGTTATTGTTCCTCTCATCAGATGGATAATCACTTATTAGACAGTTTAACCAATTTAAAAAATATTTATTGCTTGCTCTTGCTTCCACGCCGCATGGAAAACAGCAAGAGAGGAGAGATGATGAGTTATCTAAAGGAAGAGTCGCTTCATGAGATCTAGCATCATGCAAAGTCCAGAAAGCTTGTGCGATGAATCATAAGTCTGTGATTTGAGTTTCGTGTTAGATTTCTTCAGGAGGTCCCTAGGGAGAAGCCAGCAGGCCAAAGCGGGAATTGAAAAGACGGCAACGCTGATCTTCGGGACGAAGGACAAGTTTGAGGCAAACCTTGGAAGATTTGGGTGGAAAATAGTTAATGATCTCCAGTAGCGACACACTTTGTTTCTTGATTCTTCCGTACAAAGGTTTCCCTGTCAATAACCTTTTTGACATTTCTTTTAAGAAAGGCTTCCTCGCAGATAAGGAATCGAGACTGACCAAAGTAGAATGAATTTTCTAAAGATTGCTCGTGGCAGAAGTAAAGTTTAAATCATGGACTTTTATCATTCATTGCACAAGCTCCTGGACTTTGCATGATGCAACTCATCCTTAAGTCCTAGTATTGTAGCAGTTGCTCCCTTCCAGAAATACTTCTGGGCCTGGATATTCCATTTAGATACCATAGCAGAAAAGTCACTGATTTAGCCCTAGTGAGAAAGGGAATCTGGTAGCTGTGAGTTCCACTGGGGGTAGCGGGAGCATTTTTGCCAGAATAATGGTTCTCGTGGACAACGACCTATATTATCTGGAAGTAAGATAAATTATAGGCACGCACACCATTCTGCTACCTTGGCATCAGGGCCAAACTGTGGGCTTTACAGACCTTGTTTCTGTACCTTTCATCTCTGGAACCAAGGAGTGAGATAATAGGCGAAAATCTTAATAAAAGGTAAAAGATTAATACGAGGAGAAGAGACAAAATTTCTCCCTATTCTGTGCTGTCAAATAACTGAGTAACTTGTGATTTATTGCAAATTTCATCATGTGAATCTGGCCCCCTCACACTGAAAACACACACACACACACACACCCTCGTGTGGGAAGGACTAAGTAAGATCATTCACTGCCCTCCTGGGCCACCAGATTATCTGCTCCCGGCCGGCCGAGGCAATAGTGGGCCAATGAACCAGTGTTGGCTCAAGAGCTTAGCAATGGGCTCGGAGGTTTGTAAGCCCCGGAAGCTGGCTACTGCTCGAATTATCTACAACGATTTGATCCGTAGGCTCTTTTCTTGCTTTCCTCTGGGTGCATAACAGGCCTGCGCGGCGCAAATCTGATCTGTGGCGGATGCTGTGGTTCAGCCACTGGCCTCCTCAAGAATTAGGTGTCCTTTACTGGATATTATTGGTATAGGAGGCTCTTGAGATCCTGAAACTGAGGCTCCAATCCTTTGGCCATCTCATGAGAAGAGAAGACTCCCTGGAAAAGACCCTGATGTTGGGAAAGTGTGGAGGCAAGAGGAGAAGGGGACGACAGAGGACAAGATGGCTGGACAGGGTCACCGAAGCGACCAACATCAATTTGACCCAACCCCGGGAGGCAGTGAAAGACAGGAGGGCCTGGCGTGCTTTGGTCCATGGGGATCACGAAGAGTCAGACACGACTTAAACGACTAAACAACAACAAATTGGTAGATGAGGGAGAGCATTCTCTCTTTCTCGCCTCTGAAATGCCTAGCGCCTACCTTTCTTGGTTGCTGATGCATTGCAAAATTTTGCCCCCTCATGAGGACTAGCAGCTTTTTAAAAAAAATTTATTTTAATGGTACCTTTTTTTAAAAAAAATAGAAACATCGCTTCTTGAGAATCCAGATTACTCCTTCTCTTTCTTTCGCGCTTTGATCAGGAGGTAAACAAAGGAGGTCCATGGGCCACCCTAAGGAGACACAGACCACCACCCGGGGACCCGGCTCTGAAGCCTTCCCGCCTCCCTTTGGATGCTTTGCTTGTTTGCTGAAGCGAAGTCACGAAGGGCAGCTGAGAAAAGCAAACAGCTCCATTTCTCAGCTGCCGACTGGGGGGGAAAGTATTGAATCCAAAGCCAGGGAGAAGAGAGACGGAAGGATTGAAAGATGTTGGCTGGCAAGCCACAGCTGGAGGATGATAGGAGCTGACACTGTAAAGAAAGACTTCTACAGATGGACTATGCCCTCTAGAAGCAGGAAGGAAAAAAAAACGTATTTAACTGAATATTTTCCCCCCACTGGGTGACTCTCAAATCTTGACAGTTCTTACGTCCTCTTGTTATTTATGTGGCATCAAGTTGCTTCTGACTAATCCCCCCCACCGCCAATCAGCCCTTAGCCTATAGATTTATCTTTACTCATCATTGTACTATGTCTTTACTATGGAGTAGAAAGTTTCGGCTCCCACCCACCCCAAACCCTTGCAAGACCCTGCTAGGACAATGAAAGTTAAAGAGTTCTAGGTTCATTTTAATGTAAATGCTCACAAATATATTAAAACACGAGCTTTTGTGGGCTGTCGCTATAGCATCTCATGTAATTTCATACAACAATATATTTATTAGGCTAGAATCCTGCTGGCGTATGTGATTGCATATAGGGAGTGTGCCAGCAATGTTGAGTTAGTTCCCTGGCTCATCTTCCTTGAGTTTTATAGTCGCTTGCATGATGAGAAAAAAACCACATTTGCACTAAAGCCCTTACATGCGTGGAAAAATCCAAAGGGTTTGGAGTTTTAGCCTTTTCAGCTGCCACAAGATTCTTGTTTTCAGTGTAACAAACTAACACAGCTGTCCCCTTGTTTGAAAATATTGGTCTTCCCGATGTCTTTTTTGGGGTTTTACGATTGCAGAGAATCAGATTATACCGCACAAGAGATACCACCAAATAAAATTCGTCTATAAAGGAGGCTAATATATATAATATGTGAACAAAGATAGATGTGTTGTTCCTTGAGCCAAGATCAAATGCCTGGTGGGGAATGGAATACATTTATTAAAACTAAGTAAAAATCCTCAAACAGTCAAGCTTTCTAGTTCTCCCCCCTCCTCAGTAATTTTTCATACCAAAGGACTTGGAGATTTCTGAAAACTTGTGAATGGTTTTGACTGCCTGAGGGTTCGCATGCTTTTATACCCCATTTCTATTCCTTCCTCTCTCCAACCCTTCACTTTAATTAGAGGTAACGACCCATTGCATTCTTCTGCCCCTCCTTGCACGCAGCACCCCCTCTTCTCCACACACCCCCTCCCCAAATTGTTCTGCTGTTTGTACAATCCTGGGTTCTGTAAGGTTCTCTTGCGGGCAAGGAGTACAATTTTGTCATGCCTGTCTTCCTGATTTGAACAAGATAGTTAATTTTATCTATTCTATTTTTGCCACCAGAAGCCACTAGGGCACCTTAAAAAAATCCTTGTAAGAATATTTGGGATCTAGTCCAAGCAACCCTCCAAAGTTAATGGATGGGTGTCTTATGACTCTTGATCCTCTGGAGGTTGCCCACCCCTGCAATATACCAAGAGTGGGGAAATCGGAAGATTGCAGGAGCCATTTTGCTTTTTATGTATTTTTCACTAGAAACACCAAGGCAGAAAATTAAATAAGTTGGATTTAAATGTTCTGCTAAATACAGGACAACTCTTGGTGTGGGCTCTGCTTAGGAATTTGGTACCATAACCAAGATCATGGAGTCATTTTGCACCCACTGTATGCTCCGGAGTCTCAAGCGTTTTTCCCCAACATAAACATGCCGGCAGGGGGAACTTTTTAGAGATTTCGGCTGGACCCGTTCCATCCATTCTAGTAGTTCCATGTCGAATGAATATGGAGGAGCTAAGATTTCCAGCTCCCTCCTGGAGGGAATGGCTTTGTTTTGTGTTAAGCGGGGAACTCCTGGAATGTTTCTCACCCAAACCCCCACAATGTGGGTTAAATGGAATCGGAAGTAAGGGAAATAAGCAGTTTTGTGGTTTTTTTGCACCGCTGGAAGGACGGAGCAACCAGGAACGGAATGTGCCAAAGTTCCCTGAGCATAAGTATATATTAGCACAAGTAGACCTCTGCCTTTTCGTCTGGTACATGACGGAAGTGTGGAGGTCACATGGAGATGCCAAGCATAGCCGACAGGATAGGACTCCGTTGCCATGAGGACAAACCACAAGAGGCCTGACTGCTCACTATGGTAACAGGGATACTAGAACTATAACAAAGAATTGTGGATTTGCCTCCCTGATCTGGACAGTGGGGAAAAACACTCTCATATTAAAATACAAAACCTATAATTTCCCCCTGTAGGACATGAGCCAGTCCGTGGCCGAAAGAGCAGATCTCGGTAATCAGTTTAATTATATTGGATCTTGCACTTCTTCGCTTCTTTTTTCTTTTGCAAAACAACACACACACACAGGCAAAACGGAATTTTCCAGGACAATTTATGAAACAATTAGGAGGAAGAGCAGCAAAACAAAATGAAATAAAACCCCAGTCTACCCAAACAGCAAATATAGCTCATAGTCCCTGTCTTGATTGCGGTGGGAACAAAATAATCTGGCCCCAATCCATTTTTTTGCCCCAAAGTGGCAACGCTGGAGAGAGTATAATGCAGGAGATATCTATGGTTCATATTCCTTCCAGGCTCGACCGGTCATTTTGTAAGGCACTCTGTCTCTGATCCGTCTCCACCAGAACCAATAATCACGCGGAGGTTCATGAAGACCCAGAAGCTGGCAATATACCACGTTCAGGGTATTTTCAAAGCTTCATCCCCACTAGCCAAACATCCCCATGTATAACTTCTTTTCCTTTTGGTGGTAGCTGCTCAGCTGGGACTCCGTCAACTGTAAGTAACGCTTCACGTTGGCGTCTGGGATTGCGAGATGTGGAGAGAGAAAAAAATTAAAATGTGATTATGTGGATTTATGTTTCTAAAACCATGCCTCAGACAAAATCAGGTGAAGCTGACACAGGCCAAATTAAACTGTACAGTGTGATGAATTCAGCTCAGAAGGGATCAGATGGCCATGCCTGTTTTTAATGGAACCAATTAACATCGTTATGCGAGGCACCACTGTATGTGGATTTTTGTTTCTAAAACCATGCCTCAGCTTAAATCAGGTGAAGCTGACACAGGCCAAATTAAACTGTACAGTGTGATGAATTCAGCTCAGAAGGGATCAGATGGCCATGCCTGCTTAAGGTCATTACAAAGGGGGCACCATGGCGGACTAGCTTTCTGTTAATATTCTTTCACCAGGGATCTCCAACCCCAAGGAAAATCTGGCCCAAGGAGGATCAGAATGGAATGAACGGGAACTGCAGACTTCTACATATTGCCTCGTCTCTCATGGCCCACCAAGAAGAATCCCTGGTAGAACAATAGATCCACAAACACACAGACACACACACCCTTGGCAGAATGCTCTCCTCTTTCCTAGCAGAGAGTAATATGGTAGGATTGGACTAACCTAAGGGCCCTTGTGTCATTTTTCCAACCAGAAGCCTCTCAGATGCATTCAAGCAGGGCCTGAATAAAACAAGCCTGATTTACATCCTACTTTGATTTTATAAACTACCCAGAGTGGCCTTTGGCTAGATGAGTGGTATATAAATAAAATCAATCAACCAACCAACCCTCAAATCACCCTCAGTGTCTCCATCGGGCAGTATCCAAGACCTCTCTCACCTTTGGGTTGCTTGTTGATGGCGGCCACGAGATAGTGTTGTGCCCTGTCAAAATCCCGCAGGTGGTAGAACGCGACGCCGGCCCGGTAGAGTGCCTTGGCGTTCTCTGGTTGCCTCTGGAGCACTTTGAGGCTGTACTCTTTCACGCGTTCGTAATTCACCGGTTGCATCTGAAGGAGGCATGCTGCGAGAGGAACACAACACAGCATCGTTAGTAAGGGGACGGCGATGGCCCCGTAGAACAAAGCAGAGGGAAGTGGCAAAAGTAGACACGAGAGACCAAGCCTCAAGCTGTACGAAAACATTCTTAGATAAGAATAACATCTGCATCGCCAATAACTATACATCTTGAGACTCAATCTCCCATTTATACTTTTGAGGGTATTCTAAGTATTCAGAAGTGGTTTGGCATTCTTCTGGGGGCGCCCTGGGAATGAGCAGCTTGCCCAGGGCCACACAGGCTGGCTTTTCTCCTGGGAGACCTAGTGGGGGATTTGAACTCCCACCCTAAACCATGCAGCTATCCAGTTTGCCAAGCCCCCCCCCGAGGGAAATTAAAATGGGTGTTAATTCTGACAGTCAAGGGTGGCTTGGGAATTTGCTATGTGCAAGCTGATCACGATCTACTCATAAGAGAGTGGTTTGGCCAGGGCCCTTTCAAATGGCAAGCCATCTCCCTCTTCAATAATTCTTCATGCAATTAAAACAAACAAACAAAAACCAGTAAAGGTCCTCACAGGCTTACCAGCCAGATTGTTATAGCAGTCACGCTGGATAGCGTGGAATATCTGCTCCTGCTCAGCCAGCATGGTGGGCTTTTCAGCGCCAAATTCTTGTAAAGGGGAAGGCACGCTTGGATCCAGGGTTTTCACCTGCAGCAAGGCCCAGTGATAGCGGCTCACCGCATCCCGGAAGCGCCCTTCCTTATAAAAGCGGTTCCCTTCTTCCTTGAAAGTCTGGGCCTGCTGCAGACGCAGCTCCGCAGCAGGCTCCGGGGAAGGCTGTAAAAGCAGAATCAACCAAATGAAGGTCTTAAAAGAAACAAATCTATCCTTTTCTCGGGAGAAAGTGAAGAAATCATAATGCGGGAAACTCACTCGCAATTTCATGCCCTTTCCAACACTCCTACATCAACACCTGGCGAACAGAAAAGGAAACTCCGATTTATTATTTTAAATAAAGCCGCCTTGAATCTAAAGTGTTGGGAGGGAGGGAGGATCCGTGTCAAATGAATAAATCAACAGGTCTCATACAATCACACCTTTTCAAAGATTTTTCAGTAAGGGATCTCTCTCCTCTTAGACTGGCCGAGCTGGAAGGGATCCTACGGCTCATCCCGTCCAGCCCCTGCCAAGGAGGCCCAGCGGGGGAATTCGAACTCGCCACCTCTGGCTCCGCTGCCAGAGACCTCCACCTCTGAGCTCCCCAGCATGCTTCACCTCCTAGAGGTGGTCTGCCCCATGAAAGAGGCCAGGGTGTAATTTTCCGTGGATGTAATTTGTCAAGTTGCGTGGGCTGGCCTTCCTTCTTCCACCCAACTGTTAAAACCTCAGGAGCCTCTCTTATTGATCAAAGGAACCAGCTAGTCCCTTCTATAAAAAGGGACGTGGTGGCGCTGCGGGCTAAACCGCAGAAGCCTCTGTGCTGCAGGGTCAGAAGACCAAGCAGTCGTAAGATCGAATCCCCGCGATGGAGTGAGTGCCCGTCGCTTGTCCCGGCTCCTGCCAACCTAGCGGTTCGAAAACATGCAAATGCAAGTAGATAAATAGAGACCACCTCGGTGGGAAGGTTACAGCGTTCCGTGTCTAAGTCGCACTGGCCATGTGACCACGGAAGATTGTCTTTGGACAAAAACGCTGGCTCTACGGCTTGGAAACGGGGATGAGCACCGCCCTGTAGAGTCGAACACGACTGGACAAAAAATTGTCAAGGGAAACCTTTACCTTTACCTTACCTAGTCCCTTCTAAGTGAGGCCTGATTGTGGTGACTGTATGTTTCAGCAAATGCACTCTTCCCATGCTCAAGGGTTCTCTACAGCTCGAAGATGCCCAAGGCTAGACTCCGATGCCCACAAAGCCTCTGTAAATCCGTAATGGATGGGAGGCCCTCTTTTCCTACCCTTCCAAATCTTAAGCAGCACAGGGAGGCAGAACTGGACAGAGCTCGCTTTGCAAACAGCTGGGGAGAAGCAGGTGCCTCCTCCTCCTCTCTCTCCCTCCCTTCTAACTCCAGCAACCCACAAGGTGGTACCTTTGCTGTTGCCATTGCCATCAGGCCAGGTTGCAGCTGCTTCTCAAACCAAGCATCGCCGCTTTGCTGTTTCCCATGGAGCGCTGCACACACACACAACACACGCATACACACCCTGCGTGACCTGGAAGGGAAGGCTAAAAGGAGAAGAGGGGCGGAAAAAAGAAAAGACTACAAACATGGCAGGCAGCCGCTTGTCATGTGATCAGAGCCACGTGACGAGTCCCAACAGATCTGGAAAAGGGGGGAAAAATCAGGATGCTCTGGAAGGGGAGGCTGGACTGATGACGACCTAAACATTGCATTGCAAGCAGGCAAGACTTCCAGGGAAAAGCCTGCCTGAAACACACTTTGGAATCAGTTTTTTCCTACCGACTAGAATGAAACAAGCTTGTGGCACCTTGCCTAGCGTGCATATTTTTACTTTCTTAGCTGCGATTTGCAGTCCATGAACATCTGCACTAAAGAAAAATCGTTTTTTTTTCCCTGCATGAAATGGCCCCGGGTGGCCTCGCTCCTATACTTCAGATAAGAATTCTTCCAAAATTCAGATGGACGGTGAAGAGTTGGAACCTTCCTTTTCAGGCAGTCTTTTAAGCAACAGTGGGGATTTTAAAAGAATGCTCCCTGTATTTTTAATGGTGCTCGAAATGCTTTCTTGTGTTTTTAAAGGTGTTTAAAATGGCTACGTGTTTGTTTTTAGTGCAATCTTTATAGTGTTTTTAAATAGCCATTTTGTATTTTTTTTTTAGTTAAGGATAAGTCACCTTGAGTCATCCATAGGGAGAAAAGCAACATAGTAATAAAATAAATCTTATGTAAAATATTGGGGAATGAGATTTGAGTATTCTTTGTTACTATTGCTGTTATTGTTTTGTCTACTCTTAAGCTTTGGGAGAGTTTTGGAAGTCTTTGTTCAGTGTTAAGAATAAATATTTCACTAGCAGAAGGTCTGGGACAAATGTATGGGTCGTATAGTTGTATTATTATGTGTGTGTTTTGCATGAATTGCACATTTTTCCTGTTTATGTATATATGCATCTGTGTGTGTGTGTGTGTATTTAACTGAATACATGTTGAGCAGATACTGTAATCACAAACTGCTATTTTAAAAATAAAGAAAACGGGCCAAGCAAAATTGGAAAGAAGAAAATTGCCAATAAAATAGAAAGGAACTCTATTGTTGTAGAAGTAGCTCCCTTCTAGAGTTCTGATGCTGGCACTCTTTTTTCTTAAAAGCCTACTGTAAATCCACTGTTCATGATTTTAAAAATCCCTTGTACTGCAATCCAACATGGCTAGCTTTCATCAGCCTGATGGCCTCAACATGTATTGGACTGCAGCTCCCATTATCCTTCATCAGATGCCCCATATGGAGTCTGTTATCACCCATTACATCTGGGTCCTTCTGTATGTAAAGACGTGCTCCATCATCAAATCCTTCACTTAGAAGATGCTAGTCCTTGCGGTCCTCAGCAAAGACCTGATTTTAAAAGGGACACAAAATTGCTTTATCCCAAATCAGCGGACAGGTGAAAAGGATGCCCACACTTGACATAGTGCTGGAGGATATGTTTTAGAAGTCAGCCTCTGACCTCAACATGTGGGCTAGGATTGGAAAACCACACCTGTGGAACTGACTGGCATATTTGAAAGCACTGGAGTAGGAATCTACAAACATCCTGTGTAGTTTACAGTACATCACAGAACTTTTCAAATCTCACTAGAGATTGTTCAGCGAGACCTGGGCCCTTTGTGCATGGCACAAGAGGAAGCTGAACACGTTCCATATGCATTGTCTCCAACGCATTTTTGGTATCACCTGGCAGGACAAAGTTCCAAATAGAGTAGTTCTAGAATGAGCTGGAATTTTTAGCAGGTACTGTATATATTACTGAAACAGCAATGTCTGTGTTGGCTCGGGCATGTCATGAGAATGGCTGATGGTTGGATTCCAAAAGATCTCCTGTATGGAGAATTAGTGCAGGGAAAGCGCCCCAGAGGGAGACCACAGCTGCAATACAAGGATATCTGCAAGCGGGATCTGAAGGCCTTAGGAATGGACCTCAACAGATGGGAAACCCTGACATCTGAGCATTCAGCCTGGAGGCAGGCAGTGCATTATTTAGTTATTTATTTTATACCCCGCCTATCTGGACTAGCACACCATTTTGAAGAGACCCTTGTCCAGCAGGCCGAGGCAAAGAGGTCGTCCTGAATCTAGCAAAATCAGGGAGCCGGACAGGGGACAGACTGTATTTGTCTTCCGTGTGGAAGGGACTGTCACTCTCGAATGTATTTATTTATTTTATTTATTTATTGCATTTACTGTATATGCCGCCCATCTAGACATAGTCTACTCTGGGCGGCTCACAACTTAGAAGATAAAAACAATTTAAAATATACAGTTTTACATTAAAAAACAAAATAATATAAAATATAATATACATTTACGATTTTAACAGTTAATTTAAAACAAGGAGTCCCAAGATGGCAAGAATAAAAGAAGAAAAATAAGAATGACTTAATTGACTGAAGGGAAGGCCTGCTTGAATAGCCAAGTTTTCAGCTGGCTTTTGAAAATTGAATTGACCTTCTCAGCCACACTAGACACTGTTCCAAGTCCTCTCTTCAAAGCATGTTACCATAGTCTCTTGAAAATGAAGGATGCCTACAGAGAACAGGTGGTTCTGTGCACCTCAAAGCCTATGACCTGCTTTGACTATTTTACATTTCAGAGTATAGCACCACCCAAGCTGCCCAGGCTACTTATTTTCAAACAAAAAGCCTGCTTATATAGTAAGATACCACTGGATGATTACTTTTTGCTGTGTTGCTTATTTCATTCAACTACATTATCACTGACATTATCACTGTTGAGTTTGCAGCTACGGGGCATCTAGTGGCACGCAGGGCTGGCCCATCGTTACCCACTGGGGGCCGTAACACTGAGAGGCAAGAACTACCCCGATTCAATGGGCAGATATGCAACCTGTCTCCTTGATCCCTCCCAGTATGCCCTAGCTAGGTCTACTGAGTGACGATTCGCTGCCCTTTGCATGCAGTGGTATCCAGATGCCACCAGGCACCTTGCCCTGTGGGCATGGCTGAATGACTGGCTCCCTGGAGAGGAATGGGTAAGATCCCTATTGGCCATGTTGGTCATCTTCCTGGCCCTGTGCGTCCTGATCTGTTGTGGTATTCAGGCTGTCTCTGCCATTAATGCCATGCCTTTGCCCTCGCCTCTCTTTTTGTGAAATGAAACACCTCAGAAGTGGACATTGGTGCTACATATTTATCGCAGCTTCTAGAGGGGGGGGCTGTAAAGAGGAAGCAAAACTCAACATTCCTTAAGGAGGAAGCGTTGTAAAAAATGCATATATTCCTCAAGGACTAATCAGCTGCTACATACATAAGAGACATCTGAGCGACAGCATGTATGACCGTATGGCGGCCAAAACTAAGTTCATTTTAGTAGCTCTGCGTACCTAACCGTTGCCAGACAGGTAGCTAAGAGACATCTGAGCGACAGCATGTATGACCGTATGACGGCCAAAACTAAGTTCATTTTAGTGCATTTTAGAAGCTCTGCGTACCTAACCGTTGCCAGACAGGTAGCAATTCAACTGGTGCTGCATTCCCCCAATGACATGGAGGCGCAGCAGCTACCAACTCGCAGCTATAAATTGCACGTCAGGCAACTTTTAAGAAAATATAAAGGTAGCGGGCAGAGGAAGGGGGGGCAGAAAGACAGGAACTCAATCAAAAATTACATATATTTTTTATTCGTAGCCTTTAAGGGCAAAAATGGCGGCGCCCCGACATCGAGGCAATAAAAGAGGCCTAGTCTCAAGGGCTCCTATCCAATCAAAAAGCAGCATTGACCGTTTTTATGCGAAGTAGCCCGATGATTTCTTTATTCCGATTGGTTAGTTTCAACCAATCAAAACAAACTTCCCTCGCGACCTGTAAGGCACCACCACCCCTCCAGGGGCGTTAGGAGCCCGCCTAAAAATCAACCCTCGCGCACGTAGGACGCGAAGACAAGGATCAGAACGCGCTTGCGCAATACAGGAGGGGCGCTGAGGTTTAAAACCCGCCGAGAGGCTGCGCATGCGTCGTTACGCAACGGCGTCTGGCAAGCACCAAAAAAAAAAAACACAGCACTAGGTTGGGTGGGAAAGTTGAAGGCGGATCGTGACGGCGCATGCGCTGCTACGGCGTTGTTTTCCCCTCCCTCCCACACCCGCGCACGCGCCGTCGTGACTCGCGGGCACCCACTCGCGCGGCGAGCCCAGCCTTGGCGCTTGCGCTTGCGCCGTGGTCTGACACGCGCCGTCTGCGCCTGCGCTTTGTCAGCGGTGTAGGTGTGACGAGAAAAAGAGGAAGGAGGAGGGGGGGTTGGGAAAAAAAAAGGAAAGAAGAGGGTTTCACTGCGGCGCAGGCGCAGACGCGCGGGGCCTTGGCGCAGAGGGGAGTTCGGCGACGGGAGGGAGAAAAGAAAGCGCGAGAGCGGCCGCCCGCGCAGGCGCAGTCCGGCCAGAGGGGCCCCCTCGTCCTCCCTCCCCTCCCTCCCTCCCCTCCGAGCGGCGGCCTCCCCCCCTCCCCCATCCGCCGAGCGCGCGCGCCATGGACGTGAAGCGGCTGAAGGTGACGGAGCTGCGGGCCGAGCTCGGGCGGCGAGGCCTGGATTCGCGCGGCCTCAAAGTGGAGCTGGCCCAGCGCCTCCAGGAAGCCTTGGACGCCGAGATGTTGGCGGCCGGGCCTGAAGAAGCCGGGGCGGAGCCCGGAGCGGCGGCGGCGGCCGGG